CCTCTTTCTTTTATAAGGGGATAGGGGCACCGCCGGGTCACCGGTTACGGCAGGCTGTTCACTGGAATTCGGTGCGCGCGGTGAAGTGCCATTTGAGGAAAAGTTGGACTCGACCTTTGATGGCATGTGAGATTCTAACGTTGGGATTGGAGGATCATAAAGGACCACGTCCGAGAGGTCAATGTTCGTTGGCAACCTTAATTTTAGCTCCCGCAGGCAGGGTACTAGGCAGTATTTTGAGATTCCAGCCTCTACGAGATTCTCCGGACTCAGTCCCCAGCCAAGAAGGTCGAGAATTAGGATTTTAGCCTCCATAAGCTGTGAATCCGTCACTGGGTGTATAGGTCAGGAGAGTCGAGCCGGTAAGTAAGGTGGCGGACGAGTAATGCTGAACAATTCTTACTGGCGAGACCAGGACGGCAGTGTGTAGGTGAGACTGCCATAGTCGTCTGTTATGGTGGAGGCTAGTCTGGCGCTTTGAGTTAAATCCACCTGGTTCCTTTCAAATGTCACTTGGACTCTACGTATGGTACGCGCATGTATCTAGTGAAAATTCAACTACATATTGCATGCTTTTCTACAAAGTGGAGCTGCTGCGTGATCCTAACGGTTCCTCAGTCGCCTGAAACCGGCTGGCTTGCTGTTGCGGGAGACATTTCGCCGCCCTTCTGCGTTTATCCTTCTCGATATTGTCCAAAACTTGCTCCTTTGCCCCCTTTTCAGCGAGGCGCTCTCGTTCCTCCCTCTCCCATGTCGCTCGCACTTCCCCTTCAAGCCCCTTTATCCCCTGCTTAAGCGCAGAAATACAGGCGTCGAGCTTTGCCTGAAGTCATGTCAGCGATATATCCATATGATTGGACGAGGGCTACCGTGATGAAACCTGGACGGGCAGCCATGTCCGGAATCCTATATATCTCCTGCATTTCCTCTCGCTCAAGCCTGAAGCCAACCTTTGTATCGTTGAGTGAGCATAATATCTAGTTTTTGACCTCTCACCTTTGATAAGATGTCGCCGCATGGCTCACAGTTCACTAGGTCGCGAATCTTTGAGGCCTTTACCTTGCATTCTGATCGCCCTGGCAAGCGTTGATCCTTTGCACGTTCTATGATGCTCAGTAGAAGCTATGAAAGTCTCAGTGTGGGGCCCTTTATGTGACACCTTCCTTACCTTGAGGAAACGCAGTGCCTATCGAGTAGTTTGAGCAGGCATGTCGAACATGGTATGATAATCTTTACCTCAGAGTTCTCTTTCTGACCCCTTATTTTGTTCACGCAATCAAGAAAAGGTTTCACATCTGCTGGTTGCTCAAGTCGGCTTATCTTGGCCTTCGTATTAGTCCTCATCATTCGCTCTATAGCAGCAACCCTTTGTTGACGAGAATCCTCCAAGCTCAGCTGTTTGGTGACGAGGTTTGCAAGTTCGGTGGTCATAGTTGTTGGTAAAGTAGAAGTCATTTGGGGCACAAGGACCACCCGAGCCTGACAATCTCATCATTCGAGCCCAGCAATAGACCTCTCAGAATCCATCATATCATAAATCAAAGGTTATGCACTGCAGGAGGTCTGCACCTTTATGGCGCTTACTCGATAGTAGATCTTGTAGCTTAGGCTTCGTGCGGATCCGAAGGCTATGATCATTCGAAACACTATTAATGAATCTGAATCTGAATATTTTCATCTACAAGTGCCGTTAAGACGAATTTATGGTGCACTTGGACGGCCTCGAGCCAGTAATGAATAGGGCCGCAACTTACTCTCTTCCACCATGGCGCAAAGAGCGGGTGGCCTTTACGGGGGCATTCGATTCTCAACAGCATCCGCTCTTCCTCAAGACAACATTCAACCTTCTTCTTCATCTATCATCCCCAAACCAATAGCAGAAAAAGCGCCAGCAAAAGAACCTCTACCTGTCGCAGTAGAAGTAAGCCAGGAAAAGCAGGAAAATGTTGAAACTGCAGCGCCTGAAGCGTCTACAAAATCTTCAGCCGGTATCTGCTTCCCATTCGGGATCTCATCTTTACGCTTGTGATCACGTTGAACTCAACTCTCTTTCATATTCTTGTGACATGCCACTCTCCTTTACGTATCGTTAGGATGGTCCGCGGCGCTTGCATTTGCACCAGTTCGACGTTCGACTAAGCCTAAACCATCGACGAGCCGTCTACCACCCGGCGCTGCTTTCGTAGCTAGTCTAGCAGCAGCCGCTACGACAGCAGCGCCTCAGTTAGCTCCCGTAACGGCTCCTGTGGACCAGGAACCGAATGAACCGGAGGTCTCTGGATGGGGAAAGAAAATCAAGGCACCTTCGATGGTTCTCGATGAGGATGTGAATGGGTTCCGAAGGATACAACCAGGTGAAGGAAAGCGAAAGAAAAAGGTGATCTGATGCAGCCTACCCAAACTCATAGCTAACGCTCAACCGCTTTAGAAAAATATAAACGTGAATCAACTTACGTGGGATCCCTTTGAGCAATACGACCCTTTTCACCCCAATGACTACCACGAATACAAGAATTGGAAGAAAAAGGAACGTGAAGAACGAAGGATGCAAGAAAGACGACGAGTTGAAGAACTCAAACGTCGACGGGAAGGTGATTGGTCAGAAGATTCTAGCGAAAATGACAGCGAGGATGGTCGGCCAAGCCGTAAAACAGGCGAGTCGAATCATGGTCACATATTGGTATAAAGCTAACCGTCAAATAGCTCGGTACCATTCTCCTGAACGTGACGAGGAGCGACCCATGGGGTTGGGAATGGCTAAAGTATCCTCAAATATGGAGACCGATGACCATCAGGACATATACAGACCACCTACTCCTCCTAGTCAATTCGCCGCTGCCCAAGTCTCGACTGGTGAAGAAGCGTACCTTCGGCGACTACAAATGTCCCGTGGCTTCGTGAAGCAGTCTAGCCCTCCGGAAGCCCCACCATCATTTATCGACTCGTCTCATTCAACACCCGAACAATTACAGGCCCCGCCACCCATTTCTCCCCTACCTCAGCCCACATTTGTCCCATCCTCGCAGCCTGGACGAGATGGACATCCTATACCACAGCCCGAGGAAACGTACAGTAGTCCCTTGGCACCTTCTGCAGCTCCTCCAGCAGCAAGCTCGGCCCCTCTTACTCAAGACGTGATTGATGAGAGGCGAAAGACTGCTGCCGCGATAGCAGCTAGGTTGTCCGCCCTTTCAAAGATACAGCTTCCCCCAGTTGTGCCAGTGTCAGTACCAGCACAGAATGAGACA